CACTGGGTCCATAATCCCTACATTTTTATTCTTAGAAAAGCATTTACCATCCCACACGAAATAAATCTCTTTAGAAAGGTTTTTAAGTTTTTGTCGTTTGAACAAGTGGCTTGTTCCTTTTCTCATAAGTAAATGCAAGACAAAAGGATTAACACCCCATTTCCAGAGAGCGACCCCTCCTAATTTCTACCCATGAATTCAGGAATAGAACAAGTTGATGCCTTGCTGATGAAAGTAGGCAGTGCCCTATATCTGATTTATTTTAATAGATACTTGTTGCTAAAATAGATCCTGTCTCATGCAGATGACCTTGTTTTTCAGATTTTCTGCTTAAATCTTCATATTAGCCAAGTGCACTGTTTAACTAAATTGAGTTTAACTAAGGTTAAATATTTTAATTGATTGGTTGATCAACTGATGTTCTAGTTGATTACATCAGGGGCAAATTTTAATTGATGGGTCAAGAGTCAATCGTGCACTTCTATTTTAAAGAGTCTTTTGGCAATTGTATATATTATGAAATGAATAAGAAAATGTTAAAGATGACCTTATAACAATGAGTAGTACCTTTACCTGTAAGTTACCTGATATTTCAGTGCCTCAAACAGGAATCCATTTCCCAGCCCTGGCAATATGCACGTTTATTAAATCTACCGTATTTTTTGCACCATAACACTCACTTTTTTCCTCCTAGAAAGTAAGGGGAAATGTCTGTGCGTGTTATGGAGGAAATGCTACAGGTGGCATGCCTATGGATTTTCCTCCTCTAAAAACTACGTGCGTGTTATGGTCGGGTGCGTGTTATAGAGCGAAAAATACGGTAATTGATTTAGCCAAAAGATCCAATGGCAAATGGGACTAATCAAAACAGTCCTTTGATTGATGGATGTTAGCCAAGAGTGGACGAGGCAGGGGAATGGATCCAGCTGGTGGATCTGACTGCCTATGAACTTTCAGGTGGTTTAAACGGCCACTGGTTTAAATAAAGTGGATTAAATCGGCCTAAAATTAAAACAAACAGTTTGACGAACAATTCGAGTCCTTAGTTGGAGAAGGCAAGGCAGAACATGTTAGCTATCTTCATACAGTGGTACCTCAGGTTACATACGCTTCAGGTTACAGACTCTGCTAACCCAGAAATAGTGCTTCAGGTTAAGAACTTTGCTTCAGGATGAGAACAGAAATCGTGTGGCGGCAGCAGGAGGCCCCATTGGCTAAAGTGGTGCTTCAGGTTAAGCACAGTTTCAGGTTAAGAACGGACCTCTGGAACGAATTAAGTACTTAACCCGAGGTACCACTGTATTAGGAAACAAACCCATGTAACTGGCTTGTAAATTGCCACTGTGCAGTGGCAAGTAAAGATCACCTTTAGCTGATTAGGGGTTGCAAAACCAAACCGTGACCCTATTGTGGTCTGCAAACTTCCAATGAGCTGTCCTGAACTCAACCAATTGGAAGGCTGCATCATGAATGTGCTTGATTTTTGTGGAAGACCCTTTGTTGCCCAGTGGTAATGAATTGACTCAGCATGGCATCAGCATAGGTTTCAGATGTAAGTCCTACAGACATCAGTTAGATTCATTCACGGTCAATTGTGAGTGGAGTTGCAGCCTTAAACCGTCTTTATTTATGGAGTTGGGTCATAATTCAGTGGTAGGGCACATATTCAGAAGGTACCAGGATCGTTCATTAGCATTCCCAGTTAAATAGGTTTCAGGTAGAAGTTCTGAGAAAGGCCTCTACCTGAGAGCATGTAAAACCCTTCTAGTTAGAGTTAGACCCATGGTGTTCACTCAGCGGAAAGCAGTTTCGTATGTTCATATATTTGGTAATCCTACTCAGTGGCTTGAGTGATATCCTGACACACACTAATTAATCTTTGTAGCGCCTCTAAGCATTAGACGTTTTAAAAAGTTACTGAAGCAAGGTGGTTTTTATTGGATTTTGAGATCCCGCTGCATCCCTAAGGATTTGGTTAACATGCTTTGGAAACATAAAAGCTCAAGCATCCCCTTAATTATGAAACAGCTTAAACATGAGCTGGAAACTTGTTCCACCATGATTAGAGGATAGTTTTATTTTTAAAAAATACCAATACCTTTACCTTGACAATTACTCTTTCTATATTTGGAATGTGTACAAGAATATGGATTGCTATAGATTATATCAGCAGCTCACTTGGGACATCGCTTCCTGAATAGAAACATAAATGTTTGAGTCCTTGGTTCATGAATTGGTTTAAAGAAAAACAAAGGGGAAACAGGACAGAACAGAGTTAGCAGATAACATTCAACATGGCGTAGCTAAACATCTAATCAGTAGCCATTGTGGTTGTACTTATTTATGAATAATAATAATAACTTTTCCTCTTATGGTACCAATAAAACAATATCAAGTATTGGTATAGTAATGAACGTGGGAAGGGGCTTCAAAATGAAGATAATAATTTATGTTTAAAGTTAAATTGAGCCAAAAATTGAGGCAAATGCTGTTGGGGAGGTGGTGCTGTTTGGCACAGCTTAGGACACAGTTGGAAAAAAGCTCTTGCTTGGTTGACTGTGCTGAGCAAAAATTGCCTCCAGGACAGGGGTAGAGGGTCCCAGTGCCGTCACGTGGAGGGAAACTGGTGCCAGTGCTGCTGGTAGCTGTTGGGAGAAGAATCCCCTTACTTGCAGAAGGCTCAAGGTGCTCTTAACCTGGCGGCAGCATCCCTTTGCCTCCCGTGCCATCAACTAAGGGGATTGTGTCCCCCTTGTCCCGTCCACCCCAGCAGTGACATCTTCCTCCTGCCCCATAACTCTCAGCATTCCACATCACCAGCCATGACTGGCAGTCAAGTGGCTAGTAAAATATTTCATGGTCTCAAAATTTCTGCAGACTTACTTGCAAGGTTGGCTTTGTGGTCAGGATGTATTGGAAATGGGAATGATGGTTCTTTTCATTCTACGCTTTGGGGATACCTTAACAAAAAGCTGTGAATCTCAGATCAAGGCCTTGGGAAAGGCATCTCGCACTCTTGAACCATTGTATGCGCTGTAGCCCGCCATACTTTTAATAAGGCACATTTCAAAGTACCCTGTATTTCAAGCAAGAGAGAGCAAAGGGAGTTTATACCTTTCCCTGCCTGTAGGATATGCAGAGAAAACTGCAAATAGGTTCCTTTCATCAAACCAATGTAATATATAACCTTTGATTATGTCCTTAAGGCTCACCTTTTATAGCTATATCACGGATGTGCAAAGATGGACATTTCATAAAATGTTTTAAAATGCACATTTTATTCTAGTCTGGGAAGCTGCAGTGCCAGCAGCTGCAAATCTTGTCAAAAGCTTTATGAATTGGATTAAAAACAAAACAGGGGAGAAGTGAACTTGAATGAGAGAGAGCACAAAGACCTTTAAAAAAACAACAAAAAACCGTGAGCAAAGGGAGGCTACCACCATTTTGAGCTGCGTAAGTACTTCTGTTCCTGAATGGGATAGTTGTTCTCTTCAGCAGTTTAACTTCCTTCATAGGATTGTTATGGGGCCACAGTAGCATAACTGAGCTCTTTGGAGAAATGACAGGATGCAATTATGGTAATAATATTCCACACTTCTCCAACTGCTGATGTCAGCAGGTGATGTTGGGGGTTTTTTAGTGACAAAGCCCTGCACTTGCAGGGAGAATGTTGCATCCTCTCCACAGAAATGCTGGCTGAAGGATAACTGTCCAGAGCTTACACAGAAGTAAATATCTGGAGATCTTGTGATGAAGTAGATAAATCATAACCGTAAACTCCTTCAGAGGATCTCTGTGTTGCTCCTAATAACACTGAGGATTTTTATAGTGCACTTCCTGAATATTCAAATTACTTCACGTACATTATCCCAGTGGTCTTCTAATTGGCACAGCAGGCCAAGAAGCTCAGAGTAAGCCAAAATGCTTTCATGACATTGCATTTGCCCACACATTGCAAGTGCTTCGAAAAGTCTTGGAACATAATTTGGTTTGCTGCTTTTCCAATTATAGCCTGAAATATGTTATTGAAAGAATTTACCACTGCAGTAGAGGGGGAAAGCAGGGCAGGTGTCCTTGGGCAGCTGCCAGTACATGGGCTCTTTTTAATCCACCCACCCAAGTCTGGCATTACATGTACCATCTGGGTCTAAAATGCCCCCAGAATGGTGCCACTGTGGAGCATTCTGGGAAAATAAAAATGGTGGACATATTAAAATGGTGGCGCTGTTGCTGCCTGTTCCATTGCCTGAGAGGGACCGCCAGCAAAGGAGGGTGCCCACCAGAGGGCACGTTGCCCAGGGCCCCATCAAACCAGAACCAGTCCTGAAAAAGAGAATACAGATTTTGAGAAGCAGAATTCCAATTATGTTATTTGGGTCAGGATGAGTTCTTCTTCAAAGAGGAATCTTTGAATCATAGAATCGTAGAGATGGAAGGGATCATGGGGGTCATCTAGTCCAACCCCCTGCGATGGAGGAATCTCAACTAAAGCATCAAAGACAGATGGCCATCCTACTTCTGCTTAAAAACCTCCAAGGAAGGAGAGTCCACAAACTCCCGAGGGAGACCGTTTCACTGTCAAAGGTTCTTCCTGAAGTTTAGTCAGAATCACCTTGAAGCCATTCAGAGCAGGAGAAAACAAGCTTGTTCCCTCTTCCATGTGACAGCCCTTGAGGTATTTGAAGATGATTATCATAACTGCTCCCAGTCTCCTCTTTTTTAGGCTAAACCAGTGATGGCCAAACTTGGCCCTCCAGCTGTTTTGGGACTACAACTCCCATCATCGCTAGCTAACAGGACCAGTGGTCAGAGATGATGGGAACTGTAGTCCCAAAACAGCTGGAGGGCCAAGTTTGGCCATCACTGGGTTAAACATACCCAGCTTGTTCAACAGCTGCCCATATGGCTTGGCTTGTAAACCCTTGATCATCTTAGTTGTCCTCCTCTGCACGCATTGAATAAATGTTTTCTGTAAAATATCAAGGTACAAAGACACGGGGGGAAGCTGTAGCTCAAGTGGTAGTGTGCATGCTTTGCATGCAAAAGGTCCCAGGTTTGATCCCTGGTATCTCCAGTTAAGGCTGGGAAAGACTTTTTCCTGAAACCCAAGAGAGCTGGTGCCAATTAGGGTTAAGGGTACTGAACCAGATGGGCCAACAGTCTGACTTGGTGTAAGACAGTTTTCTAAGTTTCTATGCATTTAGAAGGGCTGATATTTTTGAGCAGCAGAGCTGGAGCCTTTGATATGCTCCAACATGAGTGACAGCCTCTTCTCTGGAATATGTAACATGAACACACCAGGTTTGATGATCTCCATCCCTGAGATAGCAGGAGCAATTACTGGCATTTGTAGCTGGCCATTAGCTGTTGGAATGCTGTTTAAATGCCAGGCACAGCCAATTAGGCTTGGTGACAGATAGCAGCGCCTGGAGTGATGTGGAAACCAAGGCCCAGTCAATCTGTCAAGTTCACTCAGTACACCTTAATGGTGCCAAGTTTTGCCTTCCTAGCATGACTTGGAAATTGTGTGAATTGAGGTCGAACATTCTCTCCCTCCTAAGGGACAATTACATATGATGCCCATGAAATCGGCCACAAGAGTCACTGGGTAACTTTAGGCAGGTCAGCCTTTCCCATTCTAATCTACCTAACCGGTGTGTGTGTGTGTGTAAGGATAAAACGTTCTCTGGAGTGCCTTGGAGGAATTTGCAGGCTGCAAATTATTAATATATGCCCCATATGATCAGCTGGAATATTTAGGAATTATGGGAAATGCCTAATTAAGTGGAGCTTGCAGCAGTGAAGCCTCTGGCTGTGATTGCTTGAGCTAATATGTGGTAGCTCAGAATATTCTGTAGTTTTAGGGAGCAGCATAATGTGCACTCCCAACTCTCTAGAGGAAGGGAATTTTTGGCTGGGATCAAAACATCACATTGGGTGCAGCCAAGGACTGGGAAGAGGTGCAGGGACATGAAGTCTAGAGCAGGAGTCAGCAACCTTTTTCAGCCGTGGGCCGGTCCACTGTCCCTCAGACCTTGTGGGGGGTTGGACTATATTTTGGAAAAAGAAAAAAAAAAGGATGAATTCCTATGCCCCACAAATAACCCAGAGATGCATTTTAAATAAAAACACACATTCTACTCATGTAAAAACACGAGGCAGGCCCCACAAATAACCCAGAGATGCGTTTTAAATAAAAACACACATTCTACTCATGTAAAAACACAAGGCAGGCCCCACAAATAACCCAGAGATGCATTTTAAATAAAAGGACACATTCTACTCATGTAAAAACACGCTGATTCCTGGACCGTCCATGGGCTGGAATGAGAAGGCGAATGGGCCACATCCGGCCCCTGGGCCTTAGGTTGCCAACTCCTGGTCTAAAGGAAAAGAAGCCCAAAGAAGGGTGTAATGCGCTAATAAAGAGGAACCCAAGGAAAAGACCTGTTGGAGAGCAAGGCCTGAGGGAACGGAGAAAGGGAACTGCAGCAAAGGTTAGTCATAGACGATGCTCTGAAGAAACTTACCGTATTTTTCGCTCTATAAGACGCACCCGACCATAACACGCACGTAGTTTTTAGAGGAGGAAAATCCATAGGCATGCCACCCGTAGGCATTCCCTCCATAACACGCACAGACATTTCCCCTTACTTTTTAGGAGGAAAAAAGTGAGTGTTATGGTGCAAAAAATACGGTAAGTCCTGAGCATTCATGTTCAGGAGATGCTAAATAACAGAAAGAGAGCAGAAGGTTTTGAGGTGTGGTTTGGCTGCAGGATAGTAAAGTGGGACAAAATAGCCAGTGGTCTGAAAAGCAGGATCTTGAGGAAGGGCATTGGGTGGAGAAATTAATCTGAAGAAAGGAGGAGAAAGGAGAGCAGCCCCAAACAGTTCACAAGAGCCGGGTTGTGCACTATTGTCAGGAGAGGGAGGAAGCCAAGGTGGGGATTCTGTACACTGTGGCTTCTGCTTGCACTAAGGTATTTCAGCCTCACAATTCTAAGGGAGAATGAGGTTCATAAAGCAGTAGATGGCAGTTTGGACTGAGTTTCATTTATTGATCTGAGCCAACCAGCCAATTCTTTGGCTGCAGATGCTGTCACTGGTGTCTTTGGTGAGTTTCCTTTCCAGGCGCAGTACATCTTGGTGACACTGCCATCAGTTCTAGTCTCAGCTACAGTGGGTTCGTGGGAACCAGGTCGCCGCCCTTTCTGAACCTGTGTTTCCCTTCTCTCATAAACTAGTCACATGTCTCCTGTCTCTACATTATTTCTCCTTTGCTCTTTCTGAAATCATCTGTAAATAACAGTCTCTTTGGTGCTTTGCACAGTTGCTTCTGTGACAGATTTTTATTTAAATTAAAGATGATATGTTTGCAAGGGAGCTTTTATATTTAACTATTTAGAACAGGGTTTTGTTTTTGTTTTCAGGGGGAACTGAATATTTCACCAGCAGTCTACATTTTTTCCAACCTGTCCAAATCAGCTTGTTTGCTTTGCAATATCTGGAATGAAGCTGTGAAGCCTTTGTCTCTCACCCACCCCAGTTTTCTGTCATCACTAGGTTTGTGGAAAGCCATTTCCCTGAGGTGGATCACTTTGGGAAGCTCCTGTGGTATTTCAGGAATCTTTCTGTTCTTTGCAGGTTAAACAAGTTTAGAGCCTCTCAGATTACTAGAAATATGTTCCATTAACACTGAAAACACAAATGAAGCTGGAGTTTAACTCATTCCTAATTGTGGGCAGCAACATCATTTTGGGAAAGCCTTAGTAATGAAAGCATGGCATGTGGATCCCATTTTGTATTCCGTCATAAAAGCAGAATATTTCTCAATTGTACAATGTTAGATTTAATGCTTTAGCGTAAATAGGAATTACTGCCGAATGTGTCGAGAGAGATCTTGTAAATGGACATTCTTTCTGTGGAAATGTGCCATTCGCAACAGAACTATAAGTTTTCTGAGATGCTCAGAGAATAGTTGATATATTCAATGCCACATTGAAAGCACAAGGTGAAGAAAATGTTACTTTCCATTGGACCTACTTCTGTTGGTTGAAGAGTATGCTAACAACAAACATTTTACTGCATAGTCAAGGGCCAAAATGAATATTAAAAAACGAATATGTACAATTGAGTTGCACTGATTCCTCCTTCAAATAGAATGAGTCACTCAAACCCTGTGTATTCCTGTGCTTGTGCGTGTATGCAAATGCTTGGGGGGGGGTGCCAAACTGGGTCTTTGACCTGGGTGGAAAAAAGCCAAGTTTCGCCCCTGATTTATGTTTCATTATGCTCCCACTGATGACATCAGAACCATACTGGAGTTTCTGAAATTTGAAGAGCTTGGAGAGAAATTCACAACAAACAAACAAACAAACAAACAAATAATAAAAAACCAGTTTGTATTAACTGAACCCAATTCCAAATTGAGGCGACAGGAATTCACCCATCAAGTTCAGTCCCATCTCCACAGCACAGCAGCTTCTGCAAATGTACTTCTGCTTCTGCAGCCCTAATGATGGTTTTAGAATTCAGAAATCACTCTGAGCCCCTAATTAAGCTTCAGGTTGGTTTTGTTTTGATGAGCGTTTGAGAAGGGGGTGGAGGTAACTTCCAGCTTATAAATGTCTGCTTGGTTAGCTTCATAGCAGCATGCATTCTGCATCCCAAGACTTGTCCGGAGGCTTTTTCCCTGGGATTTTCCTTGTGAGCAGTAGCAGAGGGTGGGCTCGTCAAAGCTGCCGTTCCGACTTCTGGCAGAGGGGAGGGGGGGAAGTCTGAGGGCACAAGGGCTGTTGCATAAGTAGGAAAAGAACAGAGGCTTATCACAAATCTACATTGCGCTGTGGGGTGGAGACATGCACCACAAGGAAGGAGAGATCGTGTATCTGCTGAATCGGAAGGAAGAAAATAGGAATATCCTAGTTTTGAGGACGTGCAGGAGGAGCTGCCAGTAGTGGGAAGCGTGTGCACAGCTTGTCTTCAGCCCATGATTAAATTACAGCGCCAGGCAAAGGGATCTTTCCTCTACGCAGTATCTCTCTGCAACTCTGGATAGGCAGGTGGGAATTGTTGTGGGGTTCTTTTAAATGATTCAGACTTGATGTTTTGTTCTCTGCAGTGCTATTGTCATGTCTTTAATGTAGTGCATTAGCAGCAACAGACTGGAGTGTAGAGGCGCTTATTCCCCCCCCCCCCTTCTCTCAGCATATTAAAAAAAAAGGATGTTTTTGTCCCATATGTGCAGCAGCAAGATCGTAGAACACCCTCCTGTTCCTTGACTTCTTCCCCTTGCTTTTTAAAAGCTCCCGTTCAACACCTGACAAGAAGCAGAGTGGGTGCCTGCGTTCACTTGAGTTGTTTGCTTCCCTGAGTTGCGGGGAAAGTGCCGGATGGGAATAGTTCTCCACTTGCCTCAGTGTCACGTAAAACTTTTTGTCATTGAGTTTGCCTTCCCCGTCAGAAGTCTGGCGCTCCTCATTTTGGTATCCACTCCGTTCAGATTGGATTAGATGGCATCGTGTTACACGGGCTGCAGTTTCTCCGTAGTTGAGCGGCAGTTTAAAGGGAGCTGCTCTTTCATTAGCTCATGCTTTGGCTGCCGGACGCCGCCTTCTCTTACTCACATGCGCACACCCCTTTGGGGAGAGGAAAACGAAAAGTCCGTCCCTGTTAGTTTGCCTTGGTTCACACACACACACACGGGATTCCGGCACTCTCCTCTGCCGTGGGAGAGAACGAGCGCAAGAGAAAGGGTAGCTATTGTTCGACTGCCCGGAGCCAGGGAACTGGCCTCAGTTTTCGTCCTGGCTTTTCTTCATTCCACACTGTCCAAGGCAGAGGACAGACACGGAGTGTGGCTGCCGAAAGTGGTGCTGTTAAGACGGGGGCTGGCATGCCGGCAGGACCATGACTGAGGCACCGGCAAGGTCACAGCATGCAGGTTTCAGGTAAGGTTCCCATCAGCAAAAACTTTAGGGGCATACCAGAAAGCCTGTTGAGGGGCGGGGAATGTTGCATTTTTCTTTCATAAAAATAGGTGCTTTCCTATACCATCTGCCTTGTATCAAAC